GCCAGAGCAGCCACTCCAGTCCTGGCGCCCGCCGCCCCTGAGTACTCACGTTCATCATGTGGCTGATCTCGTTGTTGCCCAGCGACAACACCTGTAGCTTGACGAGGGCATCCAGAGAGTCAATCTTGGAGATCCGGTTGTTGAACAAGCTCAGGTCCTCCAGGTTCACCAGTGTGTCCAGCCCCTCAATGGCCTCGATGTTGTTGAAGGACAGGTCTGGAAGGAAGAGGGCTGTGAGGGTCCGCTGGTTGGGGTTAGGGGTGGGACTGTCTTGGGACAAACCCATCGGGGCTACCTATGCTCTGGGAGCCAGCACCAAGCTGTCAGGCCAGTAACTGACTCACTGACTGACTCACTGACAGTCTTCTAGAAGCCATGCACGGATTCTTTCCTACCGTCTCAAACTTTTACCACCCTCTCCAATTCTGCCACTTGTCTTCCTTGCTGGGCACACGTGGCCAAATACTCAAGTCTGTGCTCGGTTGTTCTGGGATGGAAATGATGAATGGGAGGTCCACAATGGTGCATCCTGGAGCAGGAGGAGACAGTCTGGAGGGCCTCCTTCCCTCACATCTATGGGCATTTTCATAATAATACCACCTGTCTGCTTAGCGCTTCCCAGTTTATCAAGTGCTTATGAGTAAGTCTTCTGACGACAGCCCTGAGTGGCAGCTTGGGATTTCTCTCCCCGTTTGAGCATTGGGAAGCTGAAGCTCAGAAAGGCTCAGCGATCTGCCCAAAGTCACACAGCTAACCATGGTGGTGCCAGAGTCCATCCAGGGCTCCTCCCAGGACATGCGGCAGGCCAGGACCCTCCAGCTACATCCCAGCTGACTCAGATCCTCCAAAACCCCAACCCTGACCTGCAGCTGAGGTGCCAGGCCCTCCGTGGCCCACGTTTCACATCCTGGGGAATAAAACTGCTCTTTTCCCACCGTGCTTTTCCGGGATCGGTTGGGGTTGGAGTTGCAAGTCTGTCCTGGAACACCAAGGGCCCAGAGGCCTAAACTAGGAATTTTTCATGAGCTTGGAAATATGCTCATGATAGCTGCAGGCCATCACATTTTATTTGGGAAGTAATTCGGTGATTTGGGAAGTCGGTTTGTCCACACCTGAATTTAGCCTCCTTGGCGTATCAGGAGTCGCTCACTGGCTGACAGTTGAGACTAATGGTAACTTATCGTCCCTTTCTTTTTTTTTCTTTTTAATGTTTATTTATTTTTGAGAGAGAGAGAGCGTGAGCTGGGGAGGGGCAGAAAGGGAGGGAGACACAGAGTCCAAAGCAGGCTCCAAGCTGTCAGCACAGAGCCTGATGTGGGGCTCGAACTCACAAACTGGGAGATCATGACCTGAACCAAAGTTGGATGCTTAATCGACTGAGCCACCCAAGCGCCCCCTTATCGTCCCTTTCTAAGTGTGTCATCTTATCTGACGCTCACAACATAGGCCTCATCTTCTGCGTTTGGTGGAGGAAAACCAAGATTCAAGGGGCCTGGTGATATGTGCCCAACATCACCGAGCACATAGAGAAGCTGAGGTTCAGAAGGCTCCAGGAACTGGTGTAGAGTCAGTATGTGAGCAGAGCTGAGGCTTGAACTGCAGTCTGCGAGATGCCAAGAACACAGTTCTGTTCTTCAGAGGCCGGGCCTGGCCCACTAGAACTGGCTGCGTGCCGGTAAATGTTTAACCGGGGCGGGGGCGGGGGGGGGCAGGGTTTGGCAGAGGCGGGGAGGCCCTGAATCGCAGCGCTTGCCCATTTCTGTGGTGTAAATCCTCCCATCGTGGCCAATTTCAAGCTACCGGCCTGACATCCCTGAAGGCGCAGTTGGGACTAGTCGTGCGTAATCAGCTTTGGAGAGCCAGTCCTGGCTGGCTCCAGTACAGCCTCAGCCCCGGGACAGCTGATGCGGCAGGCCACCAGCAGGGCCTCGCGTGAGGCGGGGGCTTGCTGAACAGTGGGAGACACCGTGTGCCCCACCCCCTGCACCCCGGGGACCCAGATCTTCCTGGCTATGGTTGGGTCCCTGGGTGACTAACGCTGTGACTGACAAAGGCCAGCTTCTCTCAGGGGGATGATCTGACCTCTTACCAGAAATGTCCCCCCTGTTCTCTCACCCCCATAGTATCACAGGAGTACTGCACGGGGGCCCATGACACTTGTTTTAGGTCTGAGAGATAGCTGGGCCTGGTGGCTCTCTCCTGAAAGCATGGCACTCAGACAGTTGGTACCTGGCAGGTGTTCCAGAGGGGGCGTGGCTCAGGGTCGGGGCTGGCCCGGCACCCTCTTATCCCTCTCGTCTCCTACAGAGAAGATGCCTCCTGGCAATGCCAAGGAGGCGGGCTGCCAAGACCAGACTCGGCATTAATGGGTGCTGGGGTGCCAGGAGGGGTTGCCTGGGGCAAAAGACCCGGGCCCAGCTGTCAGGAGACCTGGCTGTGGTTCGCCTCCGCTGCCTGTAACGTGTGACCCCATCAGGTCCGTCAGCCGCCCAGCGTCAGGTGCTGCATCTGTATCTGCAAGGTGGCAACGTAATCCTGTCTGTGGGGCTGCTGTGGGCTGGTGACTGTCGGGGCCACTGTAGCTGAGAGTGTTTTGTAAATTCGGATGTGTGCCGATGCCCCAGGTTGCCTGTTGTCGGGAGCGGCCTGACCAGACGGAGGGAGCGTGGGCTTCGGGGTCACACAGATACGGGCTTGTGTGGCAGCTCCGCTGGAGCTTTGGGCAAGTGCCTTGGCCTCGCAAAATCTCAGTTCCTCTTCTCCACGTTGGGATTGTAACACTCACCGTTTAGGATTGCCGTGGGGGCTAAATAAGACAGCGATACAAAGAGCTCTCCGGCCAGCCCCCTCTCCTCGTTCACCAAAACCCCCTGAGGCCTTAGCAATGAGGGCCAGAGCTCTACACTCGGACAGAGCTCAGCTGGGAGCCTGATGCCCCCTCACTACTCACTGAGACCTCAGTTTGCTCATCTCTACAATGGGGATGCAAATGGATGGATTAAAAGGCCTCACAAGGAAAGCAGGCAGGCCCGTGCTTAGCAGGTAGTCGTGCTCAAGGGACACTAGCAGCTGTGATAATTGTTTCTGGCTTGATCTGGGCCCCCCTGACTGGCAGGGCCCACAGTTGTCTGTCACCCTGGGTCTAGAGTAACTAGACTGCTCCCTTGACTCTCTCCTAGATGGGGAGGTTTGGCAGGTGGGTCAGAATATTCTGGCCTGGTGTGTCCAAGCATATCTTTGCTGGCTCTGCACAGCAAAGGCCCCAGGCTTTTAAAAAGAGCAGCTTTCTTGTTCCCAGTAGACGGATCTTCAGCTGCACACCGGCTAATTCCGGGCGGGCAGCGGAAAATTGCCTGCGAGGCAATGACCCTGGCAGTGCGTCACCTTTGATTAGGGCAGACACACATGCAGGAGGGGCCCTTACCCAGCCAGACCAGGTGTACCAGACGCTCCAGGCCCTCGATCTTCTCGATGATGTTGTTGTCCAGCTGTAGCTTCCTCAAGTTCTCAAACTGCCAGAGGCTGTCTATGCGGAGGATGTCTGAAACGATTGGAGGAGGCGCCTTGGCTGCTTGCAGCCTGGGGTTAGGGTTAAGAGTTCAGTGCAGGTGCACTAAAAAATTGCAACGGCCAATACTAACCATTCACAAGGCCCATGACTCCACCGCCCTGATCTGGAATATGCGACCTGGGGATGTGGGCTAAGCACCCAAGAGTCTCTATTAGTGCAGAGCGGGCAGTGATCAGTGCTTCTACCCAGGAACGCAGCAGAACTCAAAGGCCTACGGAGGGTCATCGTGAGTGTGGGCTGGACCTGCCCAGGGCATGGGACTCAGTCGTGCCACCTCTAATGTCCAGCTAGGAGGCTTCTCGGGAGCCTGTAACACCTCGGGACACAGGACACCAACAGCGTCCTTCCTGCCACAGCGTGACAAATAGAACGAGGCTGCAGGGTGAATGCCTGCACCACCCACCCCTCGTGCACATTGGTGAGCATGTCAACTAGTTCAGCCGTTTTGGAGGGCAATTTGGCCGAGTTAACTGAAATATTTAATGCCTGTCGCCTTTGACCCTGCAATTCCTCTATTCGGAATCTGTCTGCAAAGGCACACTTGCGTGTGTGCCCAAAGAAATACCTATAGGCACATGAGAGGCAAAAAGATCGGGGGACCCACAAATGTCCCTATATGGGGAGTGGGATAAATCACCCATACGACAGAGGCGGGTTCCTGATGTCACTGAAGCTCCTGACCACCTTCATAGACACGCAGCCAACTCATTCTTTTTGCTCCTGATGCCACGCAGAGTTCGGTCTCTGTTGCTGACAGCCAGAAGAGTTCTGAACTACGCTGACGTATAAATAAGGAGATGCTACGTACATAAAATTCTGGAGGCCTAAACCTGCCCCCAGTTTCCTCTAGCAGCCATAATAGCTTTGTCGTTTACATGCCCCTTTTTTTCTATATTTGATTTTGCAAGGATTTCTAAAACTTATAAAATTAGAATATGCTCATTAAAATAACTGAAAGGGGGCGCCTGGGTGGCGCAGTCGGTTAAGCATCCGACTTCAGCCAGGTCACGATCTCGGAGTTCGAGCCCCGCGTCAGGCTCTGGGCTGATGGCTCAGAGCCTGGAGTCTGTTTCCGATTCTGTGTCTCCCTCTCTCTCTGCCCCTCCCCCGTTCAGGCTCTGTCTCTCTCTGTCCCCCCAAAAAATAAACGTTGAAAAAAAAATAAAAAAAAAATAAAATAACTGAAATAATATAGAAGTAAAAGGGGTTAAAAAAAAAAGCACACTTAATAACCACACATTCGGGGGCAGTGGTTTCAACATTCATTCAGAGGTTGTGAGGTCCTGGGGGAGGCCGGGTGCCCCCTCTTGGCTGCCCTCCCCAAGCCAGGTGGGGGTGGGGATGGGTGGACCGCATCTCTCTCCCCCAGGGCCCTGCCTCTGCCATTCCCAGGGGCAAGTGGGACTGGTGTCTGTTCCCCAGCTCGCTGTGGCCAGATTTCCCAGAATGCTACCCAGGACCTCAGATACCACCCACCCTGGTCTGGATTTTCCAGGAGCCTTTTCTGGCCCTGGTCTTAGACTGACAGCTCTTGGCTATGACTGACTTTCCGGAGACGCTGCTCCCCTGGGTGGCTCCCGCACTCCGGGTGCTCTGCCTTGCACACCTATGTGCTGCCTTTTCCTTAGGCATCAGCAGTTCGTGTGGAAGAGCCAAAACAACGCAACAAAAAACCAGGATGTATTCACCAGTTCTAAATGAGTTACTAGCAATGACAGGACTGCTCAAAAAGTCCAATTTTAATCTTCAACATAGACATGGGATCTGCCTCTACTACCCCCGGTTTGGTCTCAGCTCATTGCCATTGTTTCCTGGACCACAGTCTCTCTGCTCTGGCCCTGGGGCGCCACACTCTATCCTCCCGCAGCCAGTGGGATCTTGTGAAAAGCTAAGTCCCATCCTGTCCCTCTTCTGCTCAGGACCCTCCCGGGGCTCTCATCTCACTCACTATAAAAGCCAAACACTGCCTGTTGGCCCCCAAGACTGATGCTAGCTGACCTCCTCACCTCTCTGATCTGTCTCCATACAGGGGTGCCTGCCTCAGGGCCTTTGCCCTGGCTGTTCCCTCTACCTGGAATGCTTTCCCTGGATCTCTGCGTGCTTCCTTCCCTCACTTCCTTCTAGTCTTTGCTCAACTGTCACCTTCATGATGAGGCCTCTGACCACCCAATAAAACACCGTGCTCCACCCCCAACTCCCCTTTTTCCCTCCCCTTGATTTTCCTCCATAGCACATATTACCTTTAACATACGCTATTTTTATTTTAATTTTCCCATCACCTGGACATCAGTTCCACGAGGCAGGGGTTTTTGTCTTTTTTGTGCACAGTTGAATCCCTAGTGCCTAGAACAGCACCTAGCATATAAGAGGCATTTTATAAATACCAGCAAAATGAACCTTAGGAAGGGGAGGAGGTGAGCTAAAGGAGGCTAAAGCCCCCTCTGGTGACAGCCATTCTGCAGTCCCTTCGCCCCTCCCACCGCTGAGGTGGCCGGGCCCAGGGTCCCTTCCTGCTCTGGGTGGTCAGCCGTGGAGGCCATGCTCTGGGGAGGCCTGTGGGTTCATGAGGCTTGGGCCAGGGCTGTGCCTGCCTTGCCCACTGCTGTGTCCCCGTGGTCCGCCCCAGACGGGCTGAGGCAGGGCCTCAGTAATTCCCCTGTGGTCTCCTGGATGTCCCGGCAGGCCAGCACAGAACCCCAGGACAGAGCAGGAACGTGAAGCAGCCCGGGTCACTGCTGTGGAGCCACCCGCACAATACACGCAGCACCCTGCCCGCCTCTCTCGCTTCCTGTCGCACCCCCTCTGTCCTGAGCCGCTGGCCTTCTCGAGCGAACACACTGTGCGTGTGTTACCTCACTTTCTCCTCCTAACCAGAGCTTGAGACATGGACTATCATCTTCCCATTTTACAGAAGGGGACACGGAGGCACTAAGGACCTGTCTTCCCACGAGGCTGTCCTCCTGCTCCTGAGGCGCCTCTCCTGCTTCCTGCCCCCAGCGCACATCCTCCTCCGCCCCATGGCTTCTTCCTGGCTGCGTGGGACCACCCTTCTGGGTTCCACCTGCCAGGGACCCCGCTCCAAGAATTCCATGTGGGATCTGTGACGGAAGCAGCGGGGCCTTTGGGTTCATTTAGAGTTGGAGTGGGAGAATTTTATCTTTTTCCCTATTATTCAGAATCAGCAGTGCCGTGGATATTCAAATGCGAATGATACTCAGTATTAACTTTTCAAACACTCTCTGCCATTCCTATGCCTTCTAACCCACGCGGGCCCGCCCGCTGATGTGGGTCCCATGATCCTGGACTCTGCGTGGAGTTCTGGGGCAGAGAAGCCAGGGGCGGGGCGCTGGGCCGCCTGGTGGCCCCAGCCCAGCCCAGGATACGCACTTTGGAAGTCCAGCCGCAGTGAAAGCACATCCTTGAAGAGGATGCCCTCCTGCCTGGCCAGCTGCCCAGCCTCGTCCCGTGGGCCCTGTTCTCCCACAGCCAGCTTGAGCATGTCCTCGTCCATCACTCTTGGCTCCACTGAGTCGTACAGCCAGTTCATTTTCCCTAAAAAACACCACGTGCCTCCTCCACAATCTGCTCCTTCCTTTGTTTGAAGACAGGGTTTGGCTGGGGTCTTTTTAAGGAGCACGGTGACAGTCACGGATGCTCTGAGGCTGCCCCCATCCCGGTCCGTGGCCCGCCACACTGAGAGGCTAGTACGTTTGCACTAAGGCTTCTCCAGGCCTTTTCCAGCAACCGTCTGTACCCGTCCTGCCTGGCACCCATCTGCAGGGGTGCACCCCTTGGTCCCACAACCATGGCTGTGACCCTACCCCCACCCCGGGGACTGGTGGTCCACACCGGTCTCTTCAGCCTTGGGAGCTCAGCTGCCCTTATGGCCACGGCCGTCAAAGCCTCTGGCTTTCCTCACCCACTGTTACTCAGTGTCTTGCCACCAACCGCTGACCATGATCCTTGGCAGCTCCAGCCAGGCATAGCAGTCGGTGGCTCCCCTTCTGAGAGACTCGTCCCCATCAGGCAGTGGTATCCGTACTCCCCCCATCTCACCACAAGCCGCCCAGTGCATGGATATTGGCAGACACTGACCTATGCTGGCCATTCGTATTCTCCCGCTGAGGAATGTGAACTTGGGGCAGTGGGATGAAAGCCTCATCAGAGCTGCCTGTGTGAGCTGGGGAGGAACTGGGGGGGCCATGGGCTGGCCAGACGTGTGGTTAAGCGGAGATAACAAGAGGGGGGTGAGGCAGATGGACAGAGAGAAACAGAGACGGGAACCTGGGTGATCCAGAAAATAAGACAGAAGGGCGGACAGACTGACAGTCTTTGCTGGCTGTCCCACCCCTAGTGTCCCTAATTCCAGGCCCTGTGAGAGTTTCCTGACTCCTCACATTAAATCCTCTTTTAGTTAAACTGACACCAGTAGGTTTCTTTTTTTTTCAATTTATTTTTGAGAGAGATAAAGTGGGAAAGGGGCCAGATGAGGGGCTTGAACTCATGAGCCATGAGATCATGACCCGAGTCCAAGTCGACACTTAAACAACTGAGCCACCCAGGCGCCCCTAGGTTTCCACTGCTAGTGGGCCAAAGGGATCTGGCTGAGACTCTGCAGGCAAACGGGGGATCTGTGGAGTTGGTCAGTCGTAGGCTGACCCTGGGCTGCTGTTCCTGGCTGGACGGAGCCATGGTCCTGGGAAGCCTGGGCACCCCAACCTCATTCTCATCATTATCAACATCCAGAAGGGTTGGACCCTGCAGGAAGGCACCCCCTATTGGAAGCTCCCAGATTCTGCCTCCTGAACCCTCTGGAAACTCAGTCCTCCCTTCTTCTTTCCACTCCTGTGTCTCTCCTCCCTGCTGGCTTCACCATCTACCTTCACCCTCTTGTGTCCCCAGCACCCAGGCCTCCTCCCTGATGCTGGGCAGTCCCTGTATTATTCCACTGAGTGCTGCTGGAGAGACTCCCGGTGTTGGGCTGATGGTGTTCACTGCAAACTGGGGTGGGCCGGGCAATCCTGCCACCTGGTCTTAGAGACTGCCACTGCCCACTGCCCTCATCGGTCCTCTCCCACCATCCGCTTGGATGCAGCTTATGTAAATATGCATCTTCCATTTCTGGGCTGTCCGTGATCAAATGTTCCTGTGCCTTTAACTCTCGTGCATCCTTCCCTTCTGCTCCTTAGGGCCCGTCTCCACCCCCCCCCCCCCCCCCCCCCCCCCCCCCGCACTAACCCCCACCCCCCACTCCCCTTCTCCACCTGCGCCTTCCATCTTCCCCTCTCCAGGCTCTCAATGCTGGCTCCAACTCCTTAGGGTGAATGAATCAACTCCCAAAGACGTTTCTAGTCCTCCCCCTCTTTCCATCTCCCCAGTCTTTTGAAACAATTTTTTCTAAGACTTCCTATAACCTGACACCAGCTTGCCTTTGGGGAAATTTTAATGTGCTGGATTTGGCAGATGTTACCTGCAAAGTGTTTGTGCGTTTTCAAAGAAAAATGCCGTACTCTGGGAAATGCTTCTTAATTCCGATTTCAAAACTCTGACTGAATTCTCATCACTCCCACCTCATCTAGGCCTGGCACCTGGGAAGGATCAGGCTTGCTTTCAGTCAAGCCCACAGTCACTCCGCAGCGTGGAACGGTTATGAGGCACAATCTTTGTTAAGCACACGAGGACAGGATTTGGAACTTGAGCGTGCATCCTTCGGCAACTAACCTCACCTGTCTAAGCCCTTGATTTCCCATCTGTAAAAATGGATAATTCCTCCCTCCTACATTTGTTTAAGAGCGTGTGTGTAGCCCACACATGTGTAATGAATTCACATTTTTATTCACAGCTACTACAAGCTGTGAATAAAACAGATCTCCTTCCCTCTGTTTCAGATGTGAATCAGATAATCATACATTTAATTACAAACCATGGCAAGTTTGTAGATGTAGGGAACTAGGACAGCATACATCAGGGGCACCTGACCTGGCCAGGGGAGACAGGGCCGAGATCTGAAGGATGGGTAGGAAAGGAGGAATAGGGAACCGCACAGTGAGGGCCCTGAGGTGGGAGAGAATGAGACATGTCACTTTCGGGCTGAAGGGGTGCAAGGTCGAAGAGGCCTACAGGAGTTTATTATCTTAGGATCCCTGGGAAGCTCCTGGGGCTTAATAAGGGCAGTGATGTGAACAGCTTTCAATTTTAAGAAGCCCACTCTGGCTACAGTACAGAGAACTGCAAGGGCAGTGGTGGTCACATTAAAGGGAACTTAATTTACAGGTAGGACTAATCAGCTGCAGTTTCCAGATGAGGAAATGGAAGCTAGTTGGAAAGGCTGAGTAATATGCCTAATACATCTATATGGTATACGGCGGAGGCCGGAGAGCAGGATTCCAGAGCCTACTTCCTTAATCCTGACTCAATCGTACCCAGGGCACTGTGGATTTTCATTGTCACAGGGCACATTGTTTCTCACAGCTGTTCTGGCTCGGGGTGGAGGCCCCACCGCTCCTCCCCTAAGGGGATTTTAGCAATAATTTACCACCCAACCTGGGTTCCTGTTGACTTGCCTGACAATGGTGTTGTTGGTGAAGGCCAGAGGCAGGAGATGGGAAAAGCAGCAGCGAGTTTTACACCACTGTCAATGGAGCAGCCTCCTCACGGAGAAACCAAACCAGAGTTGTCCAGTGGAACAAGAACTTGGGATCATTTGAATCTGAAAAACAAAGCCCCTATCGGCCATGGGTTAATAAGAAAAATCAACTGTTTACCGAGTGCTTACTGGGTACTAAGTGCACATTCATTACTTGATTACATGTCGGCTCTGGAAGCCATTGGAGAAAGGAGTCCTAATTCTCTAATTTCCCAGGTAGGGAAACCGAAGCCTGGGAGGGGAAGGAAATTGTCCAAAGTCATACAGTGAACTGCTGACAAGAGGCAGACAAGGAACTCGGGTAACTGTATCCCAAGCCAAAATACTTTATACAGCACCACGGTAAAGAATAAAAATAAAGAAGAGACACAATTTTATGACAGTGAAGAGGTCGGATATGAGGGTTAAACACCTGAAGAAGTTATCAATGGACCGGGTAACTTTCGATAAAAGAGATCAGGCCAGGAAGCGCGGGGTGGAACCCCTAAAAATCTCTTTGGGCCCTGCTCCCCCAGGGAAATGCTTCCTTAGCGTTTTTCTCTCATCCAAAGGCTGGAAGCCCAGGGTCTCAGCGCGGCGGTAAGTGGCGGACAGAGAACCTCTGTGCTTATTTTATAGGTGAGGAGCGCCGGGCCGACTCCCAGAGAAAAAAGGTCAGAGGAAAGCTTTAAGTCGGGGTTCTGTCTGCCCACGCGAGACCTCCCGCACTCTCAGGTCCAGGGTCTCACCGTCTGAAGCGCCGGCTACCGGACTGGTTCCACGCAGCAGATGCTTCGCTCGGTTGCTAAGGGAACCAAGCGCGGCCAGTCGGTTGCTAAGGGGAAGTCTCGAGGTAGACATCCTGGGTGAAAGTTGACGGTCACGTGACAGCATTTCTTGGGTGGGGAAATACTCCTACCACCAACCAGCAGTAGAAAAAACAAATGTTTTTCCAATCAGCGCCTTCTATGGGCAGGGATATTAGTAGCCCCGCCTCTCCCCCCGCCACCTATTGGAGTGATTGACTCTCCTCTTGACCAATAATAGTAAGGATTCACTAGATTGCCCAACATATAGATGAATCAAAATACACAGACTCCCGTTCGGGGGCGGGCCAGGGGAGGTGCCGCTACGCCTGACGGAGATTCCTGTGACCTAGCTCGCCGCTCCGCCCAATCGGACGCCGCGGGGTAGGTGGGGCTTCGCGAGGGAGGTGTGGGGGCCAATCGGAGAAGGGCTTGGCAGGCGTTACCCAATAGGGACGCGACAAGGGGTGGGGTCAGGGGCCGGGCGTTCGGCGTTCGAGAGGGTGGGGCGGGGGCAAGTGTCAGTCAGGTCGGGAGCGCGGCGGGGGACAGCGGATACCCGGGCGGCTGACAGGGGGCCCGGGCCACTGCCGTGTTGTCCGCTCAAGATGGAGTTCCTCCTGGGGAACCCGTTCAGCACCCCGGTGGGGCAGTGCCTCGGTAAGGCCGCGCGAAGGGTGGGCAATCTGGGTGGGCGGCGGCGGTGGACGGGGCTGGTGAGGACCGCGGGCCTCTGCCGGGCACCGGTGCCACCTCACCGGCGTGCCGGGCATCCTTGCCGTCGGGCCTCTGCCCACGGGCTGTCTGCGCCTGCTCACGGCGCCGGTGCCGCCCTGCCAGGCGGCTCCCCGAGGCCCAACTGGGACTCGGAGATGCTCCGCGCGTCCCTCCGGATCAGGGCCCAGCCCTTCCTGGCTGATAGAGGTGGTGCTGGCTGCTGGTCGGCTTACCTCCTCGCCTACTAGGAGATGCCAGTGAGTGCGTCCTCATCCAGGCTGACAGTGTCGCTGCCACTGCCGGCAGAACCTAGTTCTCCCACACCCTTCTTCCTCCATCCCTGTCCCTCTTTTCAGTACCAGCAGCCCTCACACCGGGCACCCTCCCAGAGAATACTGCCTGCTCCGAGACTTTCTAATTAGAATTGCAACTCAGCTAGGCTGTAGGAGGGACTGGGATTGTGGGGAAGTGTTCCTAGAGGGTGATTATCTTGGCGTGGGGATGGCATGCCTGACTGCCTCTGGGAAAGAAGGGAGCCTGCGTTATTTAATGATGAGAGCCCTGGACTGGGAATCATGAAACCTGGGCTTCGGTAGGGTCTTTGCCAATGACTTTCCCTGTATGACCTTGTGCGAGTCACTGCTCTTTCTGGTTTGACATTTTCCGTATCACTGCTCTTTGTGGTTCGAGGGTTTTGGAGGTGAGATATGGTAGGTCCCTTCAAGTTCTCAAGTTTTAATATTCTTTATAGTAGTCTCTGCACATTGACTATTGCTTCCCTGCTCTGTTAAGTTTGCCCAAAGCTGAAGTCTATTGGTGACAATGCAGAGAGAGGGGTACTGTGCAGCACCTGTTAATCCTATATGGGGGCTCTGGACACCTAGAAAAGGGCACCAGAGGTGACCAGTATCCTGGGTAAGGAAAGCCCAAGGCTAGGTAAAAGAACACCAGAATGGCCCCCCTGTATGGGATTTCTTTACTTAAAAGGCAACTTGCCTTTTCACCCAAGGCAGGAACTTAAGCCAAGTGATTAGTTGAGAATGTTGATTGGTTTCTTTTAAAACCGGGTTCCTCCTAGTTGGTGGAAGGACTGGTAAAACGTCTTTTATGAGCCGGACCTTTCCTGTCCTTGTGGGCCTGGCTGGTTTTGTCAGTAGTGATTTGATTATTTCCTGCTTCACTTACGATTTTCCAGTTTACTTATCAGCCTTTGGCGGGGTATGTGAAGTTACTGAGGCCTCTCCTGGCGGCTGACTGGCATTTTGGAGCCTTTCTTTTCTCTGTAGTATAAGGTCTTTGGTGAGGGATGATGGACACTGGGCCCTGGAAGAGTCTCTTCCCACCTTTATGGACTACGATGTCTATCTAGATGTTCTTCATTTCCTTTCCTCAGGGGCTCTTTCACTTGCAGCCATATTCCAAAACCTCATTTCTCACTTGGGTATTGAATTACAGCAAGTTACTGGAGGGACCTGGCGAACTTGGAAGGATTTTTTTTTTTTTCCTCCTTCCTTTACAGTAGGAAGTTCTACACCTTCAAACTGCCAAGGTAATTGATAAGGGGTAGAAGTTAAAGGACATTTAAAAATCTACAAATATTAGGGCTATAGGGGTACATAGGGAATGGAAAGAGCATGATCCTTCTGTCAGGAAGGCCTAAGTTGAATTTTACCTTACCCATTTGTTGGCTGTGTGACCCTTCTGAACCTTAGTTTGCTGATAGAGAAAGAGAGAGAGTGAGTCATACAGAGTAGTACAGTTTAAGTGAGATAATGGATATAAAACACTTAGCGTGGTATCTGGGACATAGTAGAGGCTCAATAAATCATAGCTGTCACTGTTAATAACAGAATAGTTAAGTTCAGGTTGAATTTGCTATCTGGAAAGGATATGTAGGACAACTGGCCCATCTGTGACCTGTGACCAGGTCCCAGATCCACCAGCCCTTGTAAAAGACGCTTGAACATAAAGAGAGCAGAGCCTCCTCATTGCCAGTTAGCCAACAGGCAAGGCCTAGCTAATTTTCACAGTTCAGATAAGTAATTAGAGGACGGAATGAGGTTCTAGTATATATTCTGTGCTGTTGGAGCAAAGCATAAAAGTGATTTTCATGACATTTAGTGTTGTTAGTATTCTTTTGAAAGTATTGCCAGGTGGCTGATGGGAGGGAGGGGATACAGAAATAAAACAACAAAGCTGGTGATTAACAGCAGCAGTTATAGCTTACAGGAAGCAATTCTACAGCCGTTACTTGCTTCTTAGGGCCACTCTGCAGTGTAAGCTTTATTGTCCTTCCCACTTTAGAGATAGGGAAACTGAGGCTCGGGGGAGTAAAGAAAGCCACTGGTCAACTGGTAAAAGGGAGAGCTGGGGTTTCATAGCCGTCCTGGTCCTCAAGGGATTGATTTATGGCATGAAGCGAGAGAGCACAGATGCACAGAATAATGATCACTAACAGAAGGCCACTCCATAGTTAAGTGTTCAGCGGAGTACTGGGGATTTTCAGTGCTCTTAGGAGTCCAAAAGAATTCATAAGAGCCGGGGAGATGAGACTGGCTTCGTTCGGCCCGAGAGCTGCTCACGATGGTGGGTGGGAATTAGGGAAGAGGACACCCCATGTGCGGGGAAGGGTACATGAGGCAGGGAGCGGGGTGTGAGCACATCTGTGTTCACCAGTCTGAGTGGAAAAGACGTGGCTTTGGGGAACAGTGGCAAGTTGGGTTTGGGCCCAGGGTGAAGCCTTGTTTTGGGGGTGGGGGTAACATCAAAGATAACATTCTTTCTCTGACTTCAACTTTCAGTCTTCTCTGGTCCTCAGGTTACCCACTCATGAAATAATACCTCTCAACAGCTGCGTGGGGCTTGTACAGAAAGAATCCTATCCGTTTTGTTCAGTAGGCCTTTTGAGTCCCTGTGGGTGCCAGGCTCTGGGCTACACATATTTACAAGCTGCTCTCAGGGAGCTTTCAGTTGAGGTAACATGTTCACCAAAGGTGTGGTGGAACTGCAAAGCATTAGGCTTGTAGTCTGAGGGCTTGATAATTAGTATTTTTATCATTGTTTTTGGTGGTTTTATATCTTTATTTGACAGTCTGGTTCTCACCCACATTAACTGTACATTTTGGAAAGTGGTGATAGGTACGTAGTGGAGAATGTGCATAGCTGGTTTGGTGACCCTTCATGTTTATTACACTTTCTGGACAACCCTGCAAGGTTTCGGCATGGGCCTTTCCTTGTGCCTTTGGCCCAGACAGCTTCGTTGAGCCTGATGTCCGTGCACTCATCTGGGAGTTTTGGAGTTCCCATCTCCTTCGTGGCAAATTTCTGGATCTTTTTGAGGGCCTGAGGGGCACTCTTCCTGAAACCCACCGCATGGATGCACTTGAGAAAGTTGATGGTGTGTTTTCTGGTCACTGCCTCGTTGATGGCAGAATGGCCCTTCTCACCACCCTGCTTTGTGGGAGCTGTTCTGCTGGGTCCAGATTGGAAAGGGGTAGGATAATTATTATTTTATGCCTGGGGCCTCACATGGACATTGTAAGCTGGTGCTATTTGAATGCACGGATAAGTCCCCATTCGGACATAGTCACCTGTGTATACTTGTTTCCATCCTACCTGTCCTTCTAGAAGGTGGTTCCCTAGTAGAATGCATGGTTTAGAGCAGAATGAGCAGTAGTACAAGGAACTAAGAAGTGTGGAGGAAGAAAAAATACTTTTATTTCTGGATTTTCTCCTCTGAAACAAATTTCCTAAGGTTACTGTATTTTTTATTAAAAATTTTTGTTTCAACATTTATTCATTTTTTGAGAGACAGAGACCGTGTGAGCTGGGGGAGGGACAGAGGGAGGGAGAAAAAGAAGCCAAAGCAGGCTCTAGGCCCAGAGCTGTTATTAGCACAGTGCCCGACGCGGGGCTCAAACTCAAAGTGTGGGATCATGCCCGGGGTTGAAGTCAGACCCTTACCCAACTGAGCCAACCAGGTGCCCCGGTTACTGTCTTTAAAAAAAAATTTTTTTTAATGTTTGTTTATTTTCAAGAGAGAGCATGCATAAGCAAGCGGGGGAGGGGCAGAGAGCTAGAGAGAGAGAGAGAGAGAGAGAGAGAGAATCTGAAGCAAGCTCCAGGCTCAGAGCTGTCAGCACAGAGCCCGGTGCTGGGCTTGAATTCACAAACCGTGAGATCATGACCTGGACCAAAGTTGGACGCTAAACCAAATGAGCCACCCAGGTGCCCCAGGAAGATTTCTGTCATAATCTAAACCCTCCATGACCGCTGGGGGGGTTGGATGTCCTATACCAGGAGTTCCCCAAGTCAGGTCCATGATGCTCTGCAAGAGTTGACAGTTCCTTTTACTGGCTGGAGAACGTTTTCAGATTATTCTTTTTCTAAGAGTGAAGTTTGGAATCATTTAAATTAAAAGACTAGTGAGTAGTTAATTCTGATGGGAATATTGTGGGGGGGGGGTGAGGTGGTTCAGGGAGGACCATCTATTCTCTTCCTGGTTCAGCTTTCATAAACAGGTAAGAAGCAGATACTCTGTTGCAGAGTTTGTGCTTATAGGTTGGATGGTGTTAGACACAAACAGCCTCCTAGTGCCCTGGGAATGCTAGGCGTTTGACAGCCTGGGGGTTTGTTCCAAGAAGAATTAGTTATCCCTCAGATTGCTATTGTGCTCTGCAATTTCCCAAGCCCTTTTGACTCCTTTTGACTGAAAGGAGCTTAAAACCATTAAGCACCTACTGTATGCAAATTCTGTTCGAGGGATTGCATTTAATCCCAATAGCGTTTTAATGGTCTCAGTGTTATTGCTGGTGTTTAATGGTCTCAGTGTTTTGCCTACAAGGAAGCTGAGGTTTAAGAGCCTTGTGTGAGAGATTGGTGCCAGAGTTAAGCCTGGAATCCACTCCTGATCCAGTCAGTGCTCATTTTGTGCTGCCATGTTG